TCCACCTTCCAGTACGCTGAAATTACAGGCAGGCACTACCATACACAGGCTTCTGATACACCTTTTATATTTGCTTAAGTTACTTTAGTCTGTATTCCTATCCTAGCATATTAACTTTATAATAGCAAGGGTTTATTATGATTTGTGTCTGAATGCTCCCCCAAAGCATCACATGATCCAAGGGGTTTGGTGGGCTTTTCAGGGACAGATGAATCTAGAGTTTTAATTGATTCATGGTCTAACGCCGGGATTAAGGGTGTGAGTGCTACACTTGCCCTAGGGCAGATAACCTGCACACAATCTACAAGACAGAAAGAGACTTGTCTTCCTCTCCTCTCTTGTTGCTTTTGGTGTGTTTGGCCATCATAAATGACTGCCCATCTGCCATGCCATCTTGCCTTGGAATCAGCCAATTATGGACTGTAACCTCCACAAACTATGGGCTATATAAACTTTTCCTGCTTCAACCTTGGGTGTCAACTATTTTGTCTCAGCAACAAGAAAAGTAACTAAGGCAGAGCTTGACTTGTTCAATGAAATGTCAGAAAACCTGACATGAAGCAGGCATGCTATCAGGATGTACTATAATGAAATCTGTCAAAATTTTTAAAAAAGCTTATTTATTTCAAAGAGTAATTGTTTACCTTTAAGAAAGGAATAACTTCTTTCATAATTGCTTTAATTTGCCGGTCCAGCTGCTGAGTATCAATTCGAGGACATGGGACAGTAGAAACTTCATTTATAGGTTGTTGTGAACCATGATTTTCAATAACTGGAGTTTCTGTTTTTGAAGAAAAATTATATATTAACAAAAAAAGCCAATGACATTATACATGTGCATTTGTACAACATTGTAAAGAACATTAAGTTACAATAATTCTTTTTTTTTCAGTTTCATTTGCTATGTTTTAATATTTATTTATTTAAATTTTATTTATTTATGTGTGTGTGGCCAGCTCAGCCCACCAGGGGGCGGGGCTGGCTGGCATGTGGTGCTGGGGATTGAACCGCGGTCCCTGTGCCTGTGCTTTGCTAAGCTTGTTCTAAGTAGGTGCTTTAGACCACTGAGCCATCTCACCAAGCCAGTTTTAATATTTATTAATGCATGTTTCTATTACATTCTTACATTCACCATAGGCAGTGGGCATTTACATATAACATCTTTTTTTCTTTTTTTTTGGTAGTACAGTTTCAATAATTAACACATTGCATACATTCCTCCCAGTGGTTAGTTGCTGTACAAGATGCGGACTTGATAGCCTATTTACAAACACCATTAGAACAAATCCCTCTATTCATTAAGAGAATGTAACTATATATCTATCCTAACCAAGTTATAATAATTCTTTTTTTTTTTTTTTGTTCCTCGAATGCCTTCAGGGCATGTTTGGCCAGCGGGAGAGTTGTGAGGTTTGAACTCCAGCAACCTGAGGCTGACAGCTTTGTGGAAGCAGCCACTTAAAGGACTGAGCTAGGCCCAGGTCCCCAAGTTATAATAATTCTATGGTAAAATAATACAAAAGAAAATTTATGAAGATTTATAAGTAAAAGAAAACATTAATCAAATCACTACAATAAATCAGTGCTTTTATTTTGTATATGCATTTATGACTATTGTCAGTCAATCCAAAAAATACCTTCTAAATTATTAACTACAGCAGCAGCAGCAGCAGCAGCATCTTCATCCTCAACAACCCTGCAGGTGCATTTCACATTTGAACTGCTTTCAGCCTCAGTCTTCATACGCTCATATTCTCTCATTCTTGCTAATGCTTGATCTAAGTGAATTACAGTATTACCTACATTTGGAAAAAAAAAATTTACAATATGTAAAAGTAAACTTTTTCATGCATTTCTTTAAAAAAAGTCTGACTAGTAGGAAGGAAAGTGGCCTTAACAATGTATACTAATATATACTAATGAAGTATACTAATGTATACTAATGAAGCCTACCATATATATTACCACATTAAGGTAATACTTAAAATAACTCCATAAAGTAAGAATCTCATTTTCAAAGAATGTAAGTTGGCTGAGGTTTCATAGCCAGCTAAAATATAGAAGCAGAGATTTGTACTACAAAGCACATGTTTGTTTCAGTACCTCACGTTGTTTCATATAAATAAAAAGAAAATAAATTCCAAACGCCAAATAAATTCTAAGAAAACAATTCAACTTAACATAAGCAAGTAACAGGGGGAAAAAGGCCCACAACTGTTAATGAGATTTTCCAATTCTATGTGCACTTCACCTAGTGGTGGGGTTTTTCAGACAAAAAAACTAGTAAAAGAAAAACTACAGAGGGATAAACAGAGGGTAAAAGTTGCTAATTTTTTTAGGGGGGACAGGGAGATAAGTGCCTGTGTGGCAAGTACAAGGTCCTGAGTTCGATCTCTGGTTACCCTCCCCCCAAAAAAAGAGTAATTTTTCTCCATAATGGGATGAGCTCAGTATAGATCTCATAGATAATTGCTTAGAATGGAGCCAGAGCTTAAAGTCCTCAATAACCAAACAGTCAAAAAGACTTGCATTGTTTTGATAAAAAGTAGACACCAAATGACAGGGCAAGGCTTGGCCTTTTGTTCTTTTGTAGTAAAAAAATACCTTTGAAATTATTTATTTATTTATTTTTAAAATTTTTATTTATTTATTTTTGCAGTACCAGGGATTGAACTCAGGACCCTGCACTTGCCAGGCAAGTGCTTAATTCTACTGAGCTATCTCCCCAACCTTTGAAATTATTTAAATCTTACTACAGAAACACTATAATGAGACGTTATAGACTATTATCAATTAAGTGCCTGAGAAATCAGAATGAATACATACATCTTCTTACAGATCACAACCTGGGAAATGTATCATGTATCTATACATTTTTCTTTCCTCTAATTTAATTTCTAAATCTGTAACTCAAATACTTTCTCCCACTGAGTTCTACAACCCTCTAAGCTTCCTTTGTTTTACTACTCATGGGGGAAAAAAGTGCAATTTGGCAAATCTTGGGGTTTTACTGTAAGTTATTTATTTGCTACAGGAAATCTGAGTTTTGAATCAAACCATGAATTTTCACATTTTTATGAAAACTGTCTGGATAAGACCTGATTTTTTTCCCCTATGAATTGAGTAACTGTAGAAAATTATCTTTCCATTAATGGAAAGGAATTTAAAACTTCTGGGATCCTATTATTCGAGCTAGGAAGATACACACACTTAGAGAACATAGTAGGTACATAAGATCCCCACTTCATTAGTATTTGTAGATGATTTGCCGAAGATACACACACTTTAGAGAACATAGTAGGTACATAAGATCCCCACTTCATTAGTATTTGTAGATGATTTGCCCACGGTCAAGAAGTTAAGAAACCTGAATTCAGACTGACTGATATATTTAAGTCCATGTTCTTTGAACCATACCCTTTCCAACTATTTTCTTATTTATGAAATCCAAAGAACTTGACTGATCAACTAAATATCATGTGCTATCATAATAAATTCTGCTTACCTAAATCATCTGTTGCAAAAGGTTCAAAATTTGAAGATACAGATAGGACACTAGCATTATCAGCATCATTTTGCTCACTTATTTTATGTGTTTCTCTTTCAAAATTCTTCTCAAAAGTTTCCTAATGTAAAATAAACAAAAATCATTATTTTAAGCATTGTATAAATATTAAACAAAGAAACTATTTGCATAAAACTATACCTAAAAGAGATACTTGTAAGTATATCATGCAAAAGATTGTGCTATATCTAAAACTATTAAAGGTTGACTATGTCACAGAGAACATCAAAGTATTCAATAACCTTGCAGAATATTTGTCATTATGTAGATAAAAATACTTAAAACTGGCTATTGATTAAAATTTTAACCAACAAAGTTGACAATTCAAACTACTTTAACATCTTCAGTCTATTACTACCATATTATCATACTATACTACTGTCTCAAAAGGAAAACATGTGTTATTCATATTCTTTAAAAATACCTTTGAGAGAAATATAAGTTATAATGTACTCATTTTAAATGTGTAATTTGAGTTCTGACAAATGTATATAGTCATATAATCACCTTCTCTAACATCACTTTCATCAGTCCAGAGAATTTCTTTATACCCTTCTTCATATAGTCAATTTCTACTATGTCCCACTTATATGACTTTTATCATTATAGACCAGTTTTTCTGGTTCTAAGAATTTCATACAGAGCTGGCAAGATAGCTCAGTGGACTAATGCCTGCCTGGCAAGCACAGGGACGGGTATTCCATCCCCAGCACCACATGCCAGAGACCAGATGTGGTGGCATGTATACACAAGTCTGTTTATCCATTTACCTGTTGATGCTACAATTTGAGACTGATAAAGATGCTATGAAAACTAGTATATAAGTATTTCTGTGCATATTTGGTTTTACTTCTCTTGGATGAATATAGTACTTAGAATAGAAGCTGCTTGGTCACATGCTAAGTTTATGTTTAATTTTATAAGAAACCTCCAAACTGCTTTCCAGTGTAGCTGTGCAATTTTGTATTTCCACAGTAGTGAGCGTTCCAAATGTTCCACCTTTTTAAAAATATCTATTGTCAATCTTTTAAAGTGATTTTTGTGGGTATAAAATGTTATCGCTTATGGTTTAATTTGAATATTAACCATGTATGTATCTTCTTTCATGATGCATCTGTTCAAATATCTTGCCCATTTTTTTATGGAGTTCTAAGTCTTATAATGGAGTTCTAAATCCATGTTGTTCATGTCACCAGGTTATTTTCTCTTTATCTTTTTCTGTTTGGTCTTTTTGAAACAGGGTCTCACTATGCTGCTCAGGCTGGCTCTGAACTCACGCTGTAGCTACACTACCTTTAGAAAGGCAGAAAGTTTTTATAAAATCTGTTTTATTAATTACTGTCCCTCCTCCATCCTCCCTCTTCCCTCCTCCCCGTCCCCCTCCCCCTCTTCTTCTTCTTCTTTTGCAGTACTGGGGAGAGAACTCAAAACCTTGCCAGGCATGCACTTAATGCTGCCAAGCTATCTTCCTGGCCCTATTGTTTCTTACATAGGTAGTATTTTCTGTATCCTAAGAAGTCACTGTTTATACCAAGGATAAGATGATTTTCTCCTACTTATATTTAGCATTTGCATAGTTTCAGTTTTAAAGGACTTTAACTCATTCAAAATGAATTTTGTGTGTGATAGAGGTGTCTCATTTATATTTTAACAAAATACTTTGTAAGTATTTTTTTTCTGGCCATCTCCCCCCCCCCCCAATTCCCTGTAGTGGAGCTTGAGCTCAGGGGATGCTACCATTGACTACTCATACTCTTTTAAAATTCTGAGCCAAGGTCTTGAGAAGCTGCCCAGCCAGACCTAGAACATGGGAACAAGAGCCCCTTTTACCTCAGACTCCAGACTGGTTGGGACTATAGGCATGTGTCACTATGCCAGGCCTAATGATCTTTTAAGTTTCCATCACTGCAGAAAGTCCTACTGGAGAGTGCTGCTCTAGAGTTGGGACTGTTGTTCTGCTATTGCTGATCAAGAGGCAACAGTAAACAGAAAATGCTAATAACAGTGCTGCGTTTAAGTCTGGAAGAAAAAATTCTGAGAAGTAATTTTATTATTTGAAAGTAATACTGAGTTATTTATGTCAAGTCCCTACTTTAAAAAAAAATAACTTTTTCTGTATTTGGTACAGAGTCTTGCTATGCAGCTCGGACTTGTAGTGATCCTTGTCTCATGCTCCCCAACACTGGGATTATAGGCACACGCCACCACACCTGGTTTTAAGTCCTTACTTATTAAGTAGTGTATTGTCTCTAAATTTTATTTAACCTTAAATTGTCAAGTTAACTTTATTCCATATAGTATAGTCCAAACTTTAAAATCTAGTATTGATGGTATAGATCAATGTGCTCAAATCTTTTAAAATAAATGAAATAACATTGCCTGCATGAAGCTTGGATAAAAAAGGGGAAACAATAGAGTTAAGGACATAAAATTATTAAAAAAAGATGCCTCTAAGATGATTTTTTTTTTTTGCCAGATGTGGTAGCTGTAATCTTATTACAAGCAGGGAAGGCAGGAGGATCACTCAAGGACAGTCTTGGCTACATACATAGTGAGCTCAACACCAGCCTGAACTACTAACAAGACCCTGTCTCAAAAGCATTTTTTTGTTTCTCACAATTGTTTATTTACCTAGAAGTTTTAATGTAACCTAGTATTTATTTTTTTAATAGATACAGCTGTATCACTTTTTATTTCCCATGAAGAGCAGTGCTTACACTATTTTTAGTTAATTATAATAATCATCTATCCAAAGTACAGGTAACAGGGCTAGGGATATAGCTCAGCAGCACAATGCCTGCCTGGCAAGCACAAAGTCCTGAGTTCAATTCCTGATTACCAACCAACCGACAAACAAACAAAAAGTACCAGGTACTTTCTAATTAATATTTGACACTACCATTTCAATTTCAATCATATTGTTTATAGATACAGGTTCGAACTGACAGTAACATAAGATCTGGAGCCTGGTGGAAAAACATTTTAAGCAGAAAAAACATGAGATGAGGAATTTATCAACATGCATTTAAAGACAAAAAAAATAAAAATAAAAAATCCTCAGTAGTTCTAAAAAAATTACTCTATCTGAAGAACAAAATAACCTTGTGAAAATATATCATCTTCTCAGAAAACATTTTAAGGCTTTCAACAAGCATCAGAAATACAATGATTCCAACTTTCTACCTAAAATAGATTCGTCAATTATGCACATGGATCTCCATTTGCTACAGCAATCATTTAAAAATTATATGTATTATCCAAGAACCATTATATAATATTTTATAATCAAACCTTTAAATAGGTGATCCTAAATGCCAAACTATTCTAGCAGTTTCTCATCCAGTCATTTTATAAATTGTGTGCTAGGTAGTATTTGGAGGAGAAAGTTTACTAAACTTAACACTATTCTCATCATTCTCGCCCGTTTCAAGGTCCCTTTTACTTTACTGAAAAATTTCTCCAAGTAGACTATATTAAATCATTTTTTTTCCTGACTGATTTTCTGTTTAGGGTATTTTACCCAAAGACCTGATTTATCTTGCACTTATTTACTCAAGGGATCTTACTGTGGTTCTACTGCTGTAGTACAGCTTAGGAGGAACACACTACACATTCATTATATGTCTGTTAAGAGTCAGCCCTTATGTTGGACAATGATGATATAAATTTGGCTATTTTAGACCTCATAATCTATTACTGACACAGAACTTTTGGTGTTTGCTGGCATATTTTGATTGTGTTCTATATTTCACCTTCAAAACAAAGTAATGCATTACAACCATCTTTTTTTTTTAAAGGTAAAAATATACTAGGTACATTCGTAATTTGGCAACAATCTATTTTAACTTTTTATTGTATACTGAAGATAGGTTTACATTTCATTTATCATCATCTTACATCATCAGTAGTAGCAAGGCTTTCACTTGGAGTAAGTTCTGAGTTTGATGCTATCCAAGTACCAGAGTTTACTGACTTTATATTTTCCCCTTCTTTTTCATGGCTTTCAGAAATATGTCTGGATACTATGTCCTAAATAAGGAAGTAAGACATTTATGTAAAACAGATGCTTAATCCTAAACTTACGTTACCAGCAAAAGCAGAAGCAAGTGAAAGAACAAATGGAGTGCTTGTCACAGGGCAAATGTGAGAAGGAACATTAAAAATAAAACATGGGAAAACTGTTCATAAAGATTGTCTAAAAGCCACTTAAGTTATAAAGAACTTTAAAAAAAAAAAAGTCATAAGACTGTCCTGATACTATGCCACATATGGTTAGTTTTCTAAATTTCTGTGCAAAAATATGTAATTGTTTATTCCTACTTTTAAAATTTTTTTATTTTTATATTTTTTTTCTTCAAATTCTGTAGGGATTAAAAGTTTAACATATCAATACTTGATAAAAAATACTTGTTCCATGTTATGTCTAAGATGTTTGATATTCAGTCAGATAGTGGGGTTAAGCTCAACTGCTTATGTTATAGCGTAATAATATCATTAAGCTTCTCTTCTGGAAGGTTTACAACTTAAGTTTGCAGACCAAAAATTAGAGAAAAAGAAGAGACAGCCAACATTTAGGCCTTAGCCTTTCAAGGTAAGTGAGGACTCAGGACTTAGGAGATACCTGTACTGTAACATCCTATAACTCAGTGATGTCCCAAATTTACTTATCAAGGAATTATGGGGCCACAGAGGCAAGTGATTAATGATGTAGTGTGTTTAAGGAGAGTCACATGGAGAGAAAACATTCTCTCAGGCTTTCACGGAGAGCAAATTGGTCAAGCAATGGCTGTGACTCATTCACATGCCTGACACTGACAAAGGATCTACAAACTGCAGTACAGGGTTTCAGGGTAAATCCTGAGGGGATTTGACTGACCTTGTGAGATACAAAAGTTACATTTCTTGTTATATAGGTCTTGCTTTATCTTGGTCAACCATCCAGCAGAAAAGTATAAAAATGAGGTATAAAAAGTAAAGCCATATTAATATGTTGAGCTGTAAAAGGCTCAAGTCAACAACTTCTGACATTGCCAGTCCTAGGGAAAACCCACTACTATTATGGATTACTGGATTATATTGGATTATTTTTGCTGAATTCATGCACCTACTGTATGTATGTATGTATGTATGTATGTATGTATGTATGTATTTATTTATTTTTGTTCCTCGAATGGCTTCAGGGCACTTTTGGCCAGCGGGAGAGTTGTGAGGTTCGAACTCCAGCAAGCTGAGGCTGAGAGCTTTGTGGAAGCAGCCACTTAAAGGCCTGAGCTAGGGCCACGCCCCCCACCTACTGTATTTAAATGGCAATGCAATACCCATCTTTGATAAAACTAAACAAAAAAGGGGATATGCATGAAGGACCATTTTGTATCCGTATATACAAAATAGGAGAGATATACAGCTACTTTCTTTTAATTCAATGAGAAGAAAGATTTGTACTAATAGTGTTTGGACAGGATATCATGTCTGCATGTTGTACTATGAATAATCACTACAAAAACAATATGCAATGTATTAATTACTGAAACTGTCCTACTAATTGGTTTTTAAACTGTCTCATTGTTATTTGTTTCTCAATAAAATAAAAAAAAACAAATCAAGAAAAACAGAAAACAATTCAAAATATACACATAAAAAGTATAGTGCTCTCTCTGGCAGCACATATACTAAAACTGGAATAAAGATATATGTAAGTCTAAGAAAACAACCAGATGTATCATAAAGTAAAGTGTTAACAGGTCAAGAAACAGAATGTTAGGTACCAGATACCTGCAATGCATATAAAGCTCTCTGTCTCAAATAGTCCGTATTAAGTAGCTGAAGCTCATGGAAGAGTTCAATAAGGAAATGTGGGCGAGATTCATTCTGAGAAATTAATGTAGCTACTTCAGAATAGATAGTATCCCGCAGAGCTTCAAACATAGAAAAATCACTCCCAGTTTCTGGAAAACATTAAAAAATCAGGAAGTTAATATTGATAAAATACCTTCTTGACAGTTTCTATTAGTTGGCATCATTAGTTTAACCCTTAACATACTTAAGATCACAACCTAATTGTATTTCAGAGCTCTTAGGGTAGAAAAAGATTAATATTACCAAGTTAAAAATATCTTAAAGTAGCAAGATGAGAGTATTTGTACCACGAATACCTACCAACTACTACTTAAAACATTTTGATTTCTCAATTTAAAAAACTGGAGGGGGGCCGGGGAGATGGCTCAATAGAATAAGCGCTTGCCTGGCAAGCGCAAGGATCTTAGTTCAAGCCCCGGTTCCACCAAAAAATAAAATAAAAATAAAAAACTGGAGGGCTGGGCATGGTGGTGCATGCCTGTAATCCTGGCATCTGAGAGGCTAGGAGAAGGATCTTTGCTAGTTCCTGACCCACCTGGGCTACAAAGTGAGCGCAAGGCCAGTCTGAGCTGCATAGCAAGACCCTACCTCAAAAAGACCAAAACATAAAACAAAAGAAAAATCTGGAAAAACTATACACTTCATGGAAACAATCACTGAAAATCCTCAAAGACTGAAATATGTATAAATAAGTTTCCTTATTTATTCTAAAATGAACTAACAGAAATCTATAATTAATGTTGAGGACAAAATACTGCTAATGAAAGCTACTACTGTATTTTAAGATCTATCTAGTTAGGTTTACTAATTTCTAAATCTCATCTACAATTTAGAAATAAGCTGTACAATAACTGAAGTTGGAACTGTAGTATAAGACATCATTTCACTAGTCTTATTGTTATGGTTTGTGTCTAGGTGTCCCCCTAGAGCCTCATGAAGTCTTGGGGCAGCTTCTGGAGTTTGTGACTGATTACTGTGTGTGTGGATGCTGCACCTGCCCTGGGGCAGGTAGTTTACATTACAATGTGAAGTGGGAAGAGAAGCTAGCAGCTTGAGCTGCTGCTCCTCCTCCCTTGTGCTTTTGCTCTTTGCTGCCACTGCCATGAAAAGTTGCCCTCTGCTGTGTGCCACTCTGCCTTGGACCTAGCTGAGTATGGACTGAAACCTCCAGTAACTGTGATCTAAATAAACCTTTTCTTCCTTCATTTTGGGTGTCGGGTATTTGTCCCAGCAACGAGAGAAGAGTAACTAAGACACTTATACTACCAAAGTATTGTAAAATGGAGCGGTGATCCAAGTTAAGTCTTCAGTTGTATAGAATGTCAGCAGCACTTATTATTTAGCTATAATTCTTTTATATTTGTTGATAATACAGGATTTCTACTCTTAAATGTATAGTCATGATTCACTACTGAATTCTACAAGAAATTTAGAGAAGACCTAATGCCAATACTTCTCTAAATCTTTAATGAAATGTAGAGGGAAGTAATATTCCCAAACTTAATCCCAGAAGCAAGCATTATCCTGATACCAAAATCAAAGAAGAATCCAACCAAAAAAAAGATAGCTACAGGCCAAGCTACCTAATGAACACAGACCCAAAAATCTGCAATAAGATACTGGTAAGTAGAATGTAGCAAACAATCAAAATATACATATGACCAAGTAGGATTCATACCAGGGGTAGTTTAACATATGCAAATGAATAATTGTAATACACTGTATTAACAGATCCAGAGACAAAAACCAATATGATCATCTCAACAGATACAGAAAAAGCTTTTGATAAAGTTCAACACCCATTCATGATAACCCTACAGAAAACTGGAATCTGATAAAAGCCACCTATAACAAACCTACAACCAACATATACTAAATGGAAAACAAAAACTGAAAGCTTTAACTCCAAAATCTGGAACAAGAGTGTCCACTGTTACCACTCTTATTCAATACAGTTTTGAAAGCATTAGCCAAAGCAATTAGACAAAAGAAAGAAAGAAAAGGAGTAATGATAGAAAAGGAAAAGTTAAATGATCATTACTCACGGATGATATGATACTCTACATATAAGACCCCAGAAACACCACCAAAAGACTTCTACCTTTAATAATAAAATTCAGCTGCACAGCTGGATACAAAGTCAACACTTAAAAATCAATAGTCTTCCTGTACATGAGTAACAAAATCTCAGAGAGAAATTAGGCAAGTAACACCTTTCACAACAGCATCCATAAAAATGAATCACCTAGGAAACAATTAAAAGAAGAAAGTTAGAAGACCTCAAAAACTACAGTACTGAAAATTTTAGTATCCTGAAAACAACAGAGACTGCAAAAGATATCAGAAGATGGAAAAGATGTACTTTGTATTTTGGTAGAAGAACCAATATAGTGAAAATGGCCATACTTCCAAAATTGATATACAAATTTAGTGTAATCCTGATAAAATATTCCAATAGCATATCTCAGAGAATTAGACAAAACAACCCTAAAATTTATTTGGAACCAAAAGAGACCTAGAATAGCAAAAACAATTGCTTGTGGGTAACACAAGCAAGGAAGGGAGGCATTGTAATCCCTGACTTGGATATATATTACAAAGTTATAGTGGCAAAAAAACAGATCTGAAGATCAATGCAACAGATTAGAAGATGCAGAAATGACTCCAGACATGTGTAGCCACCATCTCTTTCACAAAAGGGCCAAACACATTCACTGGTAGAAAGACAGCCTCTTTAATAAATGGTGCTAGAGAAACTGTCTTTCCACATGCCAAAGACTAGAACTAGACTCATGTCTATCACGATGTGCTAAATTAAAATCAAAATGGATCAAAGATCTAAATATGAAAACAGAAACACTATAAGAGTAAGTGTAGGCAAAGACTTCACAAAGAAAATCCTCAATCACAATGAAAATAATACAAAGAATCAAGACTAGGATCTCATCTTATTGAAAAGTTTTTGCACACCAAAAGAAATCACCAATAGAATAAAAAGAAAACCTACAAATTGGGAAAAAGAATTTTAGCCAGCTGTCCCTCAAGACAAAGGACATCTAGAACAGAAGAACTGAAGAAAAAACAAAAATCATACCCCACGCCCAAATTTAAAGACCCAATCCAAAAATGGGCATCTCAGACAAATACATACTTCTCAGATAGAGTAGGACAAATAGCAAATATATGAAAAAATGTTCTGTATCACTGGTCATTCAGAGATGCAAATTAAAACAATGCTGAACTTCCTGCTTATTCCAAAAAGAATGGCTATTTTCAAGAAATCAACCAGTAACAAAATGGGCAAAAAAGGACCTCTTCTTCACTGTTTGTGAGTGTATACTTACACAGCCATTTTTGAAACATGTGGAGATTCCTCAAAAAAACTGAAAGTGGAAGTCCCATTCAACCAAGCTATTCCCCTTCTTGGTAACTTTCTGAAGAATTTAACCATTAGACCACATGATATATATATACCTATGCTTACAGCAGCATGGTTTGTTCTAGCTAAATCTTGGAAACAACCCAAATGCCCAACAACCAATGAGTGGATAAAAGAGATTTTATTTTTTTATATGATGTAGTACTATTTTAGGCATAAAGGAGATATCTGAAACATTTATAACTACATGGTTGAACCATGAGACCATACTCTTAAGTGAAATAAACCAGACACACACATGCAAATAATCACATTGTCTCCTTTGAGAACCTGAAAATGTAAATAAGAACCCAAATGTGTAACAAAAACTGAAACAGGAAGAAATTGTTGAAAAGAAAGGCAAACTAAATGGGGGAGAGGGGAAAAAGAAAGGAAAATGAAAAAAAAAATAAGAAAAATAAAATGGAAATAAAGTTTTATAAATAAGAAGAGGAAGAGGGGTCGAACTGAGGGGAGGAGAATGGGGAAACAATGAAGATATATCATGTACAAGAACAAATTCTTACAATGAATGTGATCATTATGTATCTCTAAATTGTACCAATAAACTAAATAATGTATACAGTCATACTCAGAGTATAAATTAGGAAATGTTTCCATCTTGAGTTCTCTCTGGGGGGAACCCTCTAAATGGTTCTTCAAGCTATCAAATTCTGTAAATTTTCTACAGTGATAGAATTAAGAAGCTAAATTATTGCATCATAACAAAACCAGTGGTAAGTTTCTAAGAAATAATTATAAACTCTAAGTGTTATAATACATTGCACTTTCAAGAAACTACATAGAATAGGCAGGCTTGGTGGCATAGACCTATAATTCTAGCACTCCAAGGTTGAGGCTGGAGGTTTGCTGCAAGTTTAAGGCCAGCCTGAACTGCATGGGGAAACCCTATCTCCAAAAGGTGACAGAAGAGAAAGACGAGGAAGAGAAAAAAAAAGAGGAAGAAGAGCATAGAGTATACAGATTTAACACATTTCTGCTATAGAAGGGTAAGAGACTACAGAATATAAAAACAATGAGGTCTACTGAAATAATTTCCACTAATTAACTATTTAGTATCTTCAGGTCTTGACTCTGCAAGTATAGGGTAGTAATTAAAAACATGTAACTTAGGGCCAGTGAGACAGCTCAGCAGACTAAATGCCTGCTTAGGCAAGCACAGGGGCTGAGGTTCGAATCCCAGCAAAACATGGTGTGCCAGCCCTGCTCTCGGGCGCTTGGAGCCAGCCATGGAGACCAGGCAAGGTGGCACAAACCTGTAGTCCCAGTGCTGGAGAGGCTGAAAACAGGAGGATCACTATGAGTCAGAGCTGTGTAGTGAGGCATTGTACCAAATACATAAAAACAAAAATTAAAAAAACATGTAACTTCCCTGTCTTGCCTGGATAGTTATAAGTACACAATGAAGTGATATACAAGACTGTAATAGTTTTCAAGTGTTCAAATTTGCTAAGTTATTACAAAAGGGACAATTACCCTAGGCAGGAATGAAAACTATTTTGGTAAGAACTCTCAGGACTGAGGAAGAAGCTTAGTGCTGGAGAGTGCCTGTGTAGCATGCTTGAGGCCCTGGCTTCAACTTCTAGTATGGCTTCCCTGCCACCAAAAAAAAAAAAAAAACAACTCTAAGGTAAAAAACCAGATCACAGGATATGACGCAATAAACTTTCAGTTGAGAAGGGCATGGTGGTGCATGCCTGGAATTCAGCAGTTGGGAGGATGGCAGTCAATTCAAGGCCAGTCTGGCTATATAGTGAGTTGAAGGCTGGCCTGAAGTAGATGAGACCCTGTCTCCAAAAAAACAAAACAAAAAAAACTTTATCAAACTTGTTCTGAATTTGAAAATTTTTTAGAAGTTTAATAACACAGTATACTTGTTATCTTTAATATCTTTACATGTGGTAAAATTATCACTCTAAATTATACACAGCTGAAACATTCCGAATAACGAATTACATGTATCACAAACTTTATCCTCCTTTCTCATCAAGAAATGAAAAGTTTATGTTGATTTCTCCTCTTGGACTAAAATAAATTAGCTTTTGCTTCTAGCAAAAGCCTCCAACCTCAGATTTCTGTCATCCTATCTTGTTTATTTCCTTTTTTTTTGAATTATCATCAATGTACTTGGCTTTGTCAATGCAAGTTCTTATTTCACTTTTGGAGTCTCCTAAAGATTCAAACAGGCTTTTACTTTTCACTCACTATAGCTAAAAGAGAAGTGATAGGACATTTCTAACTTTAAGACACATAAAATCATATTAAAAATATGTATGTTGGAGACCAAATTGGCTTTTCTTCTTCTTTGAGCAATACTGGATGTTGATCCCAGCACCTTGTTTGTACTGCACTATATCTCAAACTCTTCTGAGACGGGCTTCTTTTCAAAGTCACAAATTACCCAGGATAGGCTGGAACTTGCAATTCTCCTGCTTTAGCCTACCAGAGAATGAGACTGTAGGTGTTTGCCATACTCAGTTATTGAAGTGATAGTTTTCAACCTTTGTAATTTCCATGCCCTTTATTTGTCATAATTCCTGTACATCATGTTTGTTTTTGCTTGATGGTTTATTTTTTTACAGCTGCTGACTGATAATGAAAAACTATTTTAAAAAAAGTCTACATTTGTTTCTAAAATGCTAACTTTTTTAAATGTTTAAGAAATACCAAATACACAACTTTCAGTTTCTATTACCTTCGTAAATGTGTTTAGGTTTCATATAATAACAGTGAAACAAAAAAAAGCAAACACTTTCACCAATTAATTATAAATTAAAGGCTGCAGAATTTTATGGATATGAACTTGTTTGTGTTTATAATTGTCACATTTTATACAGCAGACCCATATAATAGAGGACTTCAGAACCAATAGAAAGCACCCCAAAATTGACACCCAAACTATGCAGATTGTTACCTGGCACTTCATTGCCTGCATTTCTGTTAGACTGGTATAGTATTCTCCTAGCATGTGCTGTAGGAAAGGGCAGACATAGGGATAAACATGAAAAGTGTATGAATAGTAAAGATAGGGTCAATAATACGAATAAGTGAATGAAAAAAAGAAACAAGCAAATTTTAAAGAAATTGTATGCCTGAAGTAAAATGTTATCACAAGGTATACAGTTTATGTTCTATTTAAAAATAATCTCATTAGGGAGAATCTCAAAAGGTTTGCTAGAATCTTACATATTGTGATTGATGATGAATATCACAATAAACTTTTAGTAGTTTTTTGAAAATACACATCAAAATAAATCACATCTCCAGGGAAAGAAGAGAACTGCTTAGTTCAACATTAGCAAAAATACATACTATACTCTAATAATCACATATTACAAGTAGAGTAACAAGTATTAGTACATGGTATAAAGAATTTTACAGGATGGCTAAACATTCTAACACACTGGCTATCAATTGTTTAAGTAATGATACTCAAATTTCTAATCCTTTAAAGTTTAGTGCCCTTGCCTAACTGTTTATGAAGATGTCAATGTTTGGTAAAGACAGTAAGAGATGAATATTACAAAATTTTGCTAAAAATCCTCCTAAGACAACAGAATTTTCATCTTTGCCAAAAAAATCCTGAACTTAACAGCTTAAACTTCACCCAGTAGTGATGGCACATGCCTATAGTTCTGGCACTCTAGCAGGCTAAGGCAGAGGCTTGCCATGTTCTAGACCTGAGAGGCTCTGTCCTCCAATCAATCAATAAAGGTATTGGGGATATAACTCAGTGTAAAAGCCCTGGGCTTGAGCCCCAGTGACACACATACACTACACAGAGTTCAAAATTAAGGGATATTATTTCTTAACAATATGAGCTTGAGGAAGTCATTTTAAAATACAAACAAGTGTGAGGCCGGCAAGATAGCTCAGTGGACCAAGCACCTGTTTAGGCAAGCACAGAGACTGGGGTTTGATCCCCAGTACCATATGCTGTACTGGCTCCATCCCCAGAATGTGCTGAGCCAGCCACAGAGTAAGGTCGTGGTGGTGCACACCTGTAATCCCAGAGCTGGGGAGGCTGAAAACAGAGGGATCACTATGAATCCAAGCTGCGTAGTGGACTCTGTACCAAATATATTAATAAATAAATAAGCCCACACACGAAAACAAACAAGTGTGACTTCAAAATACAGGTGTGATATTTGTGTTCTGAAAAAAGAAGTACTCAAGAATTTTAGAAAACATAAATGAATTTTAAAATGATAAAACTATTACCAAATTATTGGTTCATTTTCTTCTGGCCTTTCTTTTAGCTACTGTTTTGTTTATATAGTTAAACTCATACTGTTCAGATAACACTAAATCATGACACTTCTGTTTTCTTAGGATGAATTCCAGCAACAATTACTGCATTAAAGCAATGATTTTGAAGCTTTCCCAGAAAGTTGTACCAATTTATACTAAAAGTACTTTAAAAGAGCTGGGGAAAAAAAATTAAAGGTACCCTCTGTGACTATGATTTATCATCTGAAAACGGAAATAAAGCCAACTCAGCATTATGAGGCTAAAATGAGATATGTACATAATACTCTTAAAAATACATTAATTTTGAAAAATTGTAAATAATAATGCATAATACTATCATTTTCACTAAGGGTCCTATCACTGAGACTATCTCTACAGTTACTCCATATTTCCTTGAGATTTCTTTATAAACCAGGAAAGCAGTATTACTTTCTTATACTTAAATAATGGCAAATATGTAACTCCATTGAGTAAGAGCTACCATATAGTAGGTATTACACTGACATTTAAGACAGAAACATGAAAAAGGATTATCAGTTGCCAAGGACTCAAAAGGGAGACACACACCTAAATAAGTAAATACTTTATAATATGATGCAGGCAACAAGTAAGTTTACACAGGCTCCAATGGAAACAAAGGACAAAAAGAGAGCTATTCTAGTCTAGATTCAGATAAAATTTCAGGGTTTCAGTGCTAAAATTTCACGTAACTATCAGTAAAAAAGGCAAAAATGGACTTTAGACCAGAAAAAAGACAACTAGTGAGGTAAAAAAATAACCTAACAAGCTATTGGAAAATGTCAGTGCCATTCAAGGAATAAGGTAGAGTGATGAAAAGCAAGCCTGCAGAGCCAAGAAGGAACCAGGTCCCTCAGGGCCAAGTGTTACATTAAGGAATGCACACCTTATCCAACAGCCATGGTAAAGCCAAAAGTTATAAGCAGGGGTGTAATACGTTTTCATACTAAATTCTTATTTAGGTAAGATTCTAAGCATTTAAATAAGAAGTTCTTTATCAGTATCAACTATAATTTTTTCTTAAGAAATAATTTTAGTAAAGTAGGTCAAAAACTAGCATCACAACAAAAAATATTTCCAGTTTATATTTTTTCATGCCAAGGAATGTATACTGCAATCTATTTTTAAACCTCACACATTATGACAAAAGTGTGTTGACTCAGTTTTAAAAATTGCTTTAATACAGCTTTTCAAATCTAAAGCTCTTTTTTATAAAAAAAGAAAGAACATACCTGAAGATATTTCTGTAGACCTACTATATTTTATTATTTTTTCCAGCTGCTCATGATTCTTTCTGCTGAATACTTTTGCTTGAACAGGCTCTTCAGTCTGGGCTGAATGTCTGTTCCTACTTTTGCAAGGTTCACATGTGCTAGACATACTGGCACTTTCATACCCTTGAGTAAAAAAAGTGACAACTATTATCAGTTGCTACTAACTCAAAGTGAAACGGAAATTGATTTCCATAACAAAATAGTACGAACAACTTACTTTAGAATGCTATCAAGGCCTGGCATAAATACAATACAAAGTAGTAAGTTCTATGTCTTGGAGAAATGTTTGCACTAACTTTGGAAGCACAGGATAAAAGTGATATATTCTATCACTTGCCTACCTTGACAAATGTCTGTGAAAATATCTCAATTCTAACTACAAAATAAGACAAAACTTGTATGACCCAAATTCTCTATCAGACTCTAACCTAACAATTTTCAATATTAGCAAATAAGAAAAATATCACATCTAATCTATAAATACCCATAAAAAAGAGTAATGGGCATTAGTCAAATATATCTGCCTTTACTACAGCTTTTACGTGATATAACTTAGCTTAAAAGATCCCACTCACCCATATATATTTTTTAGCAAATTTTCCCTCTAAATTCACCTGACATGTATTTTCTTGTATAGGAATTCAAGTCTTTTTGTTCTGCATTGATGGCTGGTATGGTGGCTTATATCTAATGTTTCCCCCAAACCTCATACTATCATAGGTGAGAATTTTCAGAGGCAGCTGGATCTAGAGAGTATGACGCTGTTACTAAAGATGTGTGATTACTTAATTAGTTCACTGATGGTTTGGGCATTGTCTGGGGTGTGGATAACGGGAAGGCTCACTCTAGGTGTGTGCTACCTGCTTTAAGGGCATGTAGCCTGAAAAGAATGTAAATCACAGAATGAGAGCTACTTCCTTCATCACTTGCTGCTTGCTACTTCACTGCTTTGCTGCTCTGTGGCTTCCTGCTCACCATAAACTGTTTCTCCTCTGTAAAGTCCCTCTGCTATACTAACTTAGCTTGCAGTGACTAAAGACTAAAACCTCTACATGCTGTGAGCCAGATAAGCCTTTCCTCCTCTAACTTTGTGTCAAGTATTTTACTTCAGCAATGAGAAAAGTAACATATCAACTTTAGATATCATCAGAGTTAAAATACACACTGGTTAGTATACTAAATCCTCCTATTTACTGGGTTTTGTTTTTGAATCTAACTTCTAACTGTTCAATTTATCTATTCCAGCTGCTATTTTTTGGGTCAGGTACTGGGAATCGAACACAGGACCTCCTGTTTGCCAGGCAGGTGTCACACCACTGACCTATATTCCCAATCCAACTTACCTATTCCAAAAACAAACAAACAAGAACCCCCACATACTTATCTACTCCAGAGCCATTTTTATTCAGTTAACAGTTATATAGTATGCTTAATCATATGTGAAGGCAAGTCTTACCTAGCTTCTGTTTCCTGAGTAATCTTAGATATTATACTTATCTTTATAAGCTTTAAGAGTTTGTTTTCAATTTAAAAAAATCAAAATGCCATCAAATGCCATCTTAGAACACGGCTATGTGCCCAAATTTGTTCAATCATTTTTTTATGTTCAAAATGTTTTATAGCTTTTTATAGGCCTAATATTTTTCCTGTTAATACAGATATGTATTTGTACACTTAACCAGCCACTTTAATGGGGTTTTTTTGCTGTTGTTGTTGTTGTTGTTTTAAATGTATTTGGTACAGGATCTCACTACGCAGCTCAGACTCTAGTGATCCTCTGGGGCCAGCATTGCATGTGGTGCCAGGGATTGAACCCTGGTCCCTGCGCTTGCCTAAGCAGGTGCTTAGTCTGCTATCTCACTGAACCAACAATTCACTTTATTAACTCTAATATTTATTTTCCAGTATATCTTGGACTCTCTTAATATATAAAAATGTCATCAAAAATATATAAAATTTATTTTCCTGTTTTTCTAACACCTATTCCAATTTTATTTCTAGTCATAATACTTTCTAAACAATGCTAAAAAATATTGGTAGAAAAAGAAACACTTGTTTTAGTTTTTTTTGAAGGGAGGGATTGGTTCAGGCTGCCTTACAGGCAGATTTGGTGTGGCATGTGGAGCTGGGGATCGAACTGTGGTCCCCAGTAACTGACTGAGTTTGCCCAAGCAGGAACTTTAAACAACTGAGCTGGGCTGGCCAAATATTGGCCAAATAGCTCAGAGGATTAAAGTACCTGCAAGCAGGCACAGGGGCCAGGGGTTCAATCCCCAGGCCTGCCATGCAGGCCCCGCCCCTGGAGTGCACTGAGATGGCAAATTGAGACTGGGCGTGGTGGCGCACATGCCTATAATCCCAACACTTGGTAGGCTGTAATAGAATCACTACGAGTCCGATCTAGTAGTGAGACCCTGAACACCCTGTAGACCCTCCCCTAAAATACAGAAAAAAACAAAAAACAGAAAAACAAAAACAAAACAACAACAACAACAAAAAAAAAAAAAAAAACCCTAAGCTAACTTGCAAGCCCTAGTTCCCAATTTTGACAGAAATGTCTTTGGAGTACCTCCATTTCAGTGATGCTTGTGACTAGTTTTAGCTAGCCCTTTATTATATTTAAATTACCTTTTTTCTTTTAAGACAGTGTTGCTATGTAGTCTAGACTTGACTTAAACTTGTAATCTGTCTGCCTCAGCCTCCCAAGGACTATAATTACAGGCCACTATATCCAGCTTAAGTAACTGTTTTCTTATGTTCGTTTTACTTACAATTTTTATTACATATCACGAAATTTTACCAATCTGTAATTTTAATCATTTTAATTTGATACAAGTTGACAGATTTCTTAAATAAGAAAACATAACTATAGTTCTAAAATTAACCTGAGTAATAACTGTCCAATATTCTTTTGATATACTCTATTAGTAAAGAGATTGGTTTTCTTTACTAAAATATTGTCTTCTATATACATAAAGATAACTACTCTGTTATTAATTTTTTTTTAGTACTGGGTATTGAACTCAGGACCCTGTGCTTTCCTAGCTGGTGCTCATGCTACTATCTCTCAGCCCAGTGTAACAATTCTGACTTGCAAGTTGCTTTCTACGGCTTTTCTCAGATCAGATGTAATAAACCTTTTCTTCTTGATAGGTAAAGGAAAGGTTTCTGGTTAAGTACAGAATTCTAAGTTGCAATTCTTTTTTTGACCATATGTAAGTTATTTTACTTTCTTCTACTTCTTTGTGTTTGTTTATGTATTTTTTTGCTGAACTGGGCATTGAACTCAGGCCCTTAAGCTACTGAGCCATATCCCCACTTCTTAGTATTTGGATAGAAAATATTACCTAATGTTATTTTGGTGCGATTTTTGTATATAACTTGTTCTTTTATGCATTTAATTACTGTTTCACCATCTGTTTTGTTACTTATTTCCTTATATATCAGATCCCTTAAGCCCCTAATCCTTTCCTCTTGATTTTATCTTAGTACTGCTTCTCCCCACTTGATTTTCTAGTCTGATCTGGGATTTAGTAGTATTCATCTTATTTATTTATTTATTTATTTATTTATTTATTTATTTATTTTTGTGGAACCAGGGATTGAACTCAGGCCCTTGCACTTGCCAGGGAAGCACTTATTCCACTGAGCCATCTCCACAGTCCCCTCATCTTTTTAAATAATCTAAACATGTGTGTTTTTTTTAAGTTTTAAAGACTTTATGCTATGATTCTATTTCTTTCAGTAATTCTTTCAGTAGGTTTTGCCTATTCTAATGGTCTGTGTCTGTTTTCTCTCTGGTTGCTAGTTCTCTTTTACATGTACTTTTATATTCACTGACTTAGTCAACATTCTTAGTTGCCCTTGAGGATATATCCAAATGCTGGATATTTAATGGTGGCATACTCAAAGTGCAGGGTAGGCTCTTCCTTATGGCAAGGAACACACGAGCTATCAAGTTGTCAGTGTACCATTAAGAGAGTAAGTTTCCTTTTGTGTTAGTGTCCTCAGTTGGAAAGGCTAATGCACTCCTACCTGCCAGATTGGAGAGGACTGCCATACTGCCATTGAGTAAGTACATCTCAGCCCATTAGAAGCTTAAAGCAGCAAAAAATTGTGACCTTTGGAAGTGAGAAATGGGCAAAGAATGAGGGGTTACGCTGATTTTCTCTAACACAGCTTTCTCCCTGGAGCTTTAATTTTGCTGCACATATTATGAAAGAACCAGCAAAACCTAAAGTTTTATTCCTTATGCCTTCCAATCATTGCAGCTGCTTTGGTATCAAATCAATTCCTAAGATACTAGGTTGTCTCCATCATATTCTATCTGGATTCAACATTCCTTTATTTCTAAGGCCATCATTCAAGGCCATTCAAGGATTCTATTATCTCAAGTTTACTTTCCTGGTTTCTTTGCTGATCTCTTCAACTAAAATCCAGACACCCCAATCCACTCTGCAAGAAACTTACTAGAAAAAGAATTTTCATGATCTGAGTCACATAAAAAAGGCCCCCCCAAAAAGGTTGCAACTGCAGAAATTATGTTAACTGACATAATTGGAGTACTGTTGGTATTGACATTTAATTAATATACAATTTATCAAAGAAAAACATTTAAGTATGTCATTCTAATGAAAATTTATATAAATGAAATTAAGTTTTTTGACTACTATTACTGAATCACATATAAGGTACTGAATGATTTCAAAGTTAAAATACAGGTTATGTAACATACACAAAATTCTCTTTAGACAGCCCTAACAGGAACTATAAAAAAAAGTACAACTACAATTGTGAGAAGCATGCTACAGTTAAGATGCTATGAGGGGAAAGACTATGGTTTGAATAGAAGTTTCAAGCTTAACACATCAAGGACTAGTTCTTCCAAGCTAAGGCATTAATATACGACTAAACCGTTTCTTTCTTGAGCATTTTAATAGTTAGCATCTATAGAAAGTAGCAAAATTTATGAAAGTTAATACTTCAGAGTAACATTGACTAGGCCAGCTGGTGTAACAGCAACAAAACAACACACGATGTTTATTACTTTAAGTGTGTTCTCATCATCATTTTCCTTATCCCCATTCTGTTTCTCTTAACCCAAGTAGCCAACATACAAGCAATTAACTAATGTTTCTATTTTGCCCCATTGAAGGGAAATGGCTCAGGCACAATATCTGGAAACCTTACACATTTTCAAAGAGGCCACAGGTAAGGACTGACCCATTGCTGAATCTGTCTTGGCAAAAGGCCTCATGACCCTGCTGAATATACAACTATATTGCAGGGATATTCTTTTTTTTTTTTTTTTTTTTTCCTTTCCCTGGGAGGCTGACAGGACATAATTTCTCATCTTTTTTAGGTTCTGAGGAAACATGACACCTCTGTTTCACCACCTCCCCCATCTATAGAATACAGGTGCAAATTTATGCTGACTCTTCAACAGCAGGACATCCCACCACTCCTTTGCAATTGTCACCTAACCTTGTATTTCAGTGTTGTGCTCTTCAAATGAGATAAGGGAACAGCTGGCTCCTTCAGCTACTCTGCTGTTCTCTACCTATGTTAAGTAATAAAATGGATTTCAAAGGCATTTTTTTCTACCCTGCCTTTTTCTTTTTTAACAAGACAAAACCTGTCAAGATTTTCCTTGCCTACTGCTTTCCAACCATAGCATGTCAGATTCATTAGTATCGGGAGACATAAGAAAAAATGAAAAATTAAGGAATAGTTAGAAATCAGTGAGTTAGAAACTCAGTACATTAATAACTCTATCCAATTTTCAAGAAAACAATGAAGGGCTGGTGAGATGGCTCAGTGGTCTAAAACACCTACTTAGAACAAGCTTAGCAAAGCACAGGGACCACGGTTCAATCCCCCAGCACCACATGCCAGCCAGCCCCGCCCCCTGGTGGGCTAAGCTGGATGCGCGCACACACACACACACACACACACACACAAATAAAATAAATAAAATTTAAAAAAAACAATGAAGACCTAGATTATACTAGTGTAATAAATTTGGGATATAATAACTAGCTGTCCTACAGTTTATCTCTAAGACAGCAATTTAAGTGCCACTGCTGGTCTGTTACCTTCTTCCTTTTCTCAATTCTTCTTATTCTACTTCTCAACTCTATACTTTTCTTATTGTTACTGAAACTTTGAATACTTTCCAGTATTAGCTCACCTCATTTCCATTTATTACTTATTTACGACACAATAATCCTTTATTCTAACAAATCTTAGTTATTCCTATTCCACAAAAAAAATAATATAAATCAATAGGTTAGTCCAGCACTTCTAAGGCTTTTATGTGTGCATTTTTACATAAAACATGTGAAATCTTAATAAAACGCACACTGCCTGTTTGCGGCAGGTACAACAGTGTGCACTTTTTAAATTCTGTATTAATTTTATTGAGAAACAAATAGTATTGAGACAGTTTCAAAACTGATTAGTAGGGCTGTTTCAATAATTAATACATTGCATATTGTCTTTGTAGTGGTTATTCATAGTACAAGATGCAGACATGATATCCTGTCCAAACACTATTAGTACAAATCTTTCTTCTCATTGAATTAAGAGAAAGTAGCTGTATATCTATCCTAACTATTTTGTATATACAGATACAACATGTTCCTTCATTTGTATCCCCTTTTTTTGTTGAGTTTTGTCAGAGATGGGTGTTCCATTGCCATTTAACTGTTATAGGTCAGACGAAGCCAATGTTGTATGTCCATGGCTCTCATTCTGAATCACAAGGGTTTAGCTGACTTAATTCTACCACATATTAGCTTGACTCTGCTATATGTCATGTGATTCTGCTACAAGTCTTATTTTTCTGTGTGTGCCATATAGTAGGGCTCTAACTAACAGATGGTCTTCAGTGCCTGTTTAACAAACATGAAGTGTATGTTGACACATATTCTTAAATATGAAGGTAAAGAACTCAAAAATCATGTCAACTTTGCCATAAAGTAAAAAAGCTGAATTATATAAGGTATGGTTGAAATATACAGTGAATGTTCAAGTTTTTAAAAATTATTACAATAAAAGAACGGATTGAAAAATTGCCTTTTATGGTCATTCTGACTTTGGGGAAAACCAGATGTTGCATGGTGCCAGCACCAGTGTATAAGGAAGATAAGGACACACAGTAATACAAGTCTGCCTTCCCACTAGATGGCTCTGGCAAGCAGCATTCTCTGTATTTTTAAAATCACCCTTCACCTTGGAAATACAATCGTGAAAGATGGCATCCAGCGCTGCTTCAGAAAATGGCAAGAATGATAAGTATGTTTGAAGTAAGGGGAAATATTCTGAGGGAGATTAATGCTAATAATGCAGCTTGTAATGTAATAAACTTTTAAAAATTTAAGCATTTACTGTACTTTTCAATCACACTATATATATGTTACAGTAATTCCATGCAATACAGATGCTTCCCAAAAAACCCACAAACATCAATATTTCAAGGCTTTGGTAGACATAACCATTCACTGGCTAAAACCTGGCTACTTAAGATGTGGTCCACACACCAAAATTGGCAAAATACTAATCTGCTAGAAATGCAGACTCTCAGGTCCCTCCCAAGCTAACTAAATTAGAATTTAAGATAGCACTCGCAAGTAGTCTTATATAAAATACTGAAGTTTAAGAAGCACTGCCGCAGCACAACAAAATGCTGTAGTCGTGTGGTGTCAACCTATGACATGTGTGCCACGGCCTGCTATCGGTTATCACTGAAAGCTCTAAAAGGTTTGCAGTCACTGCTCTAGTTAAATAAGACAATGTTGAGCAAAAAAATATTCGCTCAAATATCAAAAACATTTTCATGGGACAAGATAGTAGAGAATAAAAAAGTATAAGTACACAAAAGAATCTCTCAAAATGTCCACTACCGACTTTATTTTTTTTTTAAATTTTATTTATTTATTTATGTGTGTGTGTGTGTGTGTGTGTGTGTGGCCAGCTCAGCCCACCAGAGGGCGGGACTGGCTGGCATGTGGTGCTGGGGGATTGAACCGCGGTCCCTGGGCTTTGCTAAGCTTGTTCTAAGTAGGTGCTTTAGACCACTGAGCCATCTCACCAGCCCCACTACCGACTTTAAAAGCGTAGTAGTTGTAGGAATAATTTCACAACACTGGTTACTACATAAATTAGTTCCTCCCAAACTTTTATAATTGGAAAATTATTTCAAGGACGGTGATGATGTTAATAAAAAAATGATATTCCTGTTCAAATTTGGATGTTTAATGATCAGATTCTTCATGTGTGGGAATGTGGGAAGGGACAACAGGAACCAAGGCCTTCAAGAACACATAATTGAAAGAAAAAAAAGGGGAAAGCACTTAATAGTTTTCATTAGATGTTTAGAAAGGGTTCCATCAGAGAACTAAAATAAAGCTGATAAATTTTACATGTGTAACTGGGGAAAGAGGTGCACTCAGGATTGAACTCAGAGTTCAATCAGGTAGGCAAGCACTCCAGTGCTAAGCTATATCCCCAGTTACCCTGACCCCTTTTTTAAAAATCAAATTTGGAGACAGGATTTCATTAATTTGTTCAGGCTGGTCTCAGTCTCATAAGTAGCAGGGATTATAGGTATGTATCACCATATCCAGTTTACACATGTAGTTTTCTAATACTGGTTTCCTAGGAACTTTACTGTATCTGAATTGTTTTGTGAACTTCCAAGAAAGGGAATCAGCAGTGTATTTTGTTCGTAAGCACCAAACACTGTTTTCTTAAATTAAGAACAACTGCAAGGCCACAGCCTAAAAAAGCAGATCTTGTAAACCTCTAAGTATCTTTTCGTTATAATATGCCAGATTTTAGTTTAAGTGAATTCTTAAAAAACAAAAAACAATAGAGAATTTATTTTTAAAAAACAGGTTATGGGAGAAAAAAAGAGGCTATGTGTAGCATCATTATAAAAAGAAATTTCACAGAATACTCAAAATCAATATTCAATAAAATATGGGTTCAGCTCCTGAAGGACTAATAGGAAGCCTGTTTTAAAAGGTGATTCCAAGACTGCAGAGTGTAGCTTGGCGGTCTAAGTGCCTGCCTGGCAAGGGCAAGAACCTGGCTATGATCCCTGGTACCACATGCTGTTCTGGCCCGGGACCTCAGTGTGCCACGCTGGCCACTGAAACCAGGTATGGTGGTGCATGCCTGTAATCCCAGCACTGGGGAGGCTGGGACAGGAGGATCACTATGAGTCCAAGCAGTGTAGTGAGACCCTATACCAAATAAATAAAAAAATAAATTTAAAAGATTAAAAAAAAAGTTATAAAAAATAAAGGTGATTCCATTTTAAAGGTGATACTGAAAAACCGCAAGGAACTAAGGAGCATACATTTCAGTAAATAAATCAATTAAGAATCTATGAAGTCATGACTAGAGTTGGATGCAGGACCACATATAACATTAAAAGAGAAAACTGTAAAACACAGGCATCATGGCAATTATCTAGTAATCTTTAAAACTGAGGAACTATCTTCTGAGTTCACAACATAAACCCACCATCCTACCACCAAAAAAAAGAAAACGTAAGAAT